ATATTTTTAGTTGTCTAGATAATTTCTTTCTATTTTTAGTAGAGACGCTCTTGCTCAGGCTGGTCTCGAACTCCTGACCTTGAGTGATCCACCCGCCTCGGCCTCCCAGAGTGCTAGGATTACAGGTGTGAGCCACCGCACCTGGCTCTCCTTATGCTTCTTGAAGCATGTTTTCCTGACTGTTTTATGAGGAGACCAGGAAGTTGCATGGTATGCCATAATAAAAAGTTATTTATAAAAGGGTATCAGGAAATTAGGATTAATAATGAGTAATGTTAGAAGAAAAATGTGATTTTTGAATAGCATCATAAAAAGAAAATTTACAGATTACTTCTGTACCCAAATGATATGTTTTTTTGTCATTCAGAATAAAATCAATGAATATAAGTTGCTTTAAATTTTCTGACAAGATCCTTACTTGTCTTTTAAGTGAGGTTAACTCACTTAACCTTTTAGAAATTCTCTTTCTTTAAAATGGGTAAGTTAGACTCACTAGATAACTTCTAAAGTTTTTTTTCTAGCTCTTACTATTTTTATATGCTTTTACCTGTTATGGAGATAAAGCTTCTGAGTGTTCTTTTTAAAACTTCTGGTTGTGTTGAGGGAAAATACCATTTGAGAGCCTGAAGAATTACAAAGTATGGTTGCTCCTTAATAAGAAATTGCTTTGAGAATCTAATATTAACAGTTGGTTTTCTCCAAAGATCTTGGAAGGATTTGTTGTTTTGGTCTATATAGCTTTGCCTTTAACTGGTGGCTGTCTTGTCTTACTGCGTTGGGTCATTCTTGCTTTATAGACATTGAGTTCCTGGAGGACTCTATTTGCATTTTCAGTGTAGACAATGCATGTGCTTTCTTGGTGGTAAAAGAAGATTAAAAAAAAAAGCAGAAACAGCAGCTACAGAAGGAGAGAATGCCTTTATTAGGCATCCATGATTGTTTAAGAAAGAATTTTTTTTTTTCTTGTCATCGATACTCTCTCATTGAGAGAATCCTGTACTTCAAATCAGTGGAGGACTGGAATGGTTAACAAGAGACAGGATTCTAAACTTTCTCCAATGAGGCCCTTCTTGCTAGAGTTGGAATTTGTGTCCATTGGACTATAGCTATTGGCATGATTCCTCAGAGCAGTAACTATTTGGTAATTTTGTTCCTTTTGTATTACAGAAGTGTCTCATACTGACTTGAACAGTCGATTTAAACCAAGAAGTTACCAGCTAGAGCTTGCTTTGCCGGCTAAGAAAGGAAAAAACACAATAATATGTGCTCCTACTGGTAAGCCAGTTGCCATTACTCCCATCCAAGTACTAACCAGGCCCGACCCTGCTTATCTTCCGAGATCAGTTGAGATCGGGCGCGTTCAGAATGGTATGGCTGTAGACAAGTTACCATTACTTATATAGTTTGTTTCTCTGTGTCCTTTTTTTTTTTCCCTCTCATGTTAAACTCTGGGGCAGAATGGGCAAGTGTTAGTTTTTCCCTTGTTTAATTTGTCTTTTTTGAAAACTATCCTATTAATATAACATCAGCATATTGTAAGGAACATGAGAAGGCAAAGAAAAATGCCCTCTGTTATCTTGCTTTGGGGTCCTGGCTGTTTGTTTGCATGTTACCTAAGGAGTGGCTTGATTTTTTTTTTTTTT